CCGTACAACAACCAGAGCCTACAGTGATGTGCTAGCAGGTGCTCGTGCTGAGCAAGCAACACAGCCTTAGTCCTGCTTCCCCCTCCCGGTTCCACACGGCAGGCTCAACAGACAGCAGACAGAGGGCCTTCCACAGGGTCATGCCGCGAAGCCAGGCAGCCTCTGACGGAAGCCTGTGCTCAGCAGGTCATCTCCTCGGAACACGGAGCTCAGTTTTCAGATGTAACCTGGGTGTCTGATGGCCTGAACGTCATTCCCATTGTCGCCGTGCTCAGGTATTTGCATGGCACAGAGGTCCAGGCTCTTGCAGCCCACAGTCACATCCAAGTGCAGACTTGAACAGATAACACTTCAAGGTCCCAGACTGTGCGGAGGCGGCCCCTCCAAGACCCATATCAGGAAGCTGCACAAAAAGGGAACGTGTAAAGCAAAACATTCATATGAGATATTTTTTCCGAACAGCTGAAGGCACAGTGAATGTTGAGGTGTTTTGTTGATAGATGGAGAAACTGAGGCCAGGGAGGTCAAGTCACCTAGTGAGACACAGTGAGAGATGCAGTTGGAAGTAGCAAAGTGGCTCTGCCCATGAAAATGAGGGGTTTTCTTCCCTAAAGAATCTAAAAGGAAAAGGAGGAGGCACTACGGAGTTCATATGTAGCTCAAAGAGGAGGAATAGGGAAATTTAAAAGGGGGGGAAACCAAAAGGGAAGAAGGGAAAGAAACACACACCCGTGGAAACAGACCCTGCTGGCAACCAGAACGCAGGAAGGGTTGGAAAGTGGGAGTTGGAAACAACATGCAGTCGGAAACCGAGAGGAAGCCAGGACAGGATTTAGAAGGGATAATAGAATCATAATGGCGGGAAGTGAGCACAGTCCACTTGGCTGGAGAGTCGGCTGCAGTGTTTTGGGCAGCCCAGTGGGAAATGATGCCATCTGACCACGTTTGAAGGCCTAACAACATCCAAGGTGACAGGAGGCCCCGGGGAATGTGGGGAAGAGGGACAGGGAAGCGCCCCACTCTCCTGGCCGACTCCAGTGCGCAGCAGGAGGCCAGGTGCCGCAGCGGGGCCCAGGCGGGCAGCGTTGGGGAAAGGGGCAGGGTGTCTGTGCTGCCGGCAGCCAGGCCCTCGCCCCTTCTCTGATGGACGTGGAGGGTGGGAACCTGGACACACTTTGTGAGTATGGCACCTGCCATGGTCAGCACCAGGGGCTGGCGGAGACCACCCCCCTGCTGAGCAGTGATCTCTGTCGCAGTTCCCACTCGGGAACCTGGGGACCCCCACTACTGATGAGCGTGTCCCAAAAGTGCGCCCACACACCGTGTTTTAAAGGTTCTATCTTTTCTATTTCTCCCCTGGCATTCTTCCCACTGAAAAAGGCAAAAAAGAAAATCATCCCCAAGCAACCCTCCTGCCTCACTGTCCGCTTCGTCACTTAGAAAAGTGCGATGAAAGGATGCTTTTCTCCTGTGTCCCTGTGTCCCGCCGGCTCTGACCACCCGGCACTCGAGCCCCTGCACATTCCTTCCCAGGCCCTGCCCTTCACTCCAGGCACCAGCAAAGCCAACGTCTCAGGGAAAGTGGCTAAAAGAGGAGAAATAACAGTTCTCTTTGTAACAAAAATATGAAACCATCTAAAACAGGAAAATGAAATACGCTCATCTTAAAGTAGTATGCAGAGTAAAATCCATTTTGGCTAAAAAAATTCTTGAAATAAGTAAGATTTTTCAAAGTTCTTATAGCTGTATTCTCATGCTGTGTTTTAAATATGAACACAGTCCACTTAAACTGGCTATTTTTTGTCAAGTAGCAACTAGCCTAAGCCTTCTAAGTGGGCATCCCGTGGTTGTGCAGTTACTGTTGCAAAGGCCTGCAGTGGAGGCGCCAGGGCCACAGGTCAGCTGTGTGGATGCTGCCTGGGGGATGGTTGGAAATGAGCCAGCCCCAATCAGATCTCCATTGTCAGCCAAGTACATTGTCTCATCCCCACTTCTTTGGCAAAGCTGCCATTAGTGGGTTCTGTTTGGCCCAGTGCATGGAATTGGTGACATATGCTCTCTGCTTTGCGAGGCCTACGGAGAGAAGGCCCAAGAAGAGAAAGGAGAGAAGGATAAGTGGGAGGAGTGTGCCCCGGAGCTGGCAGTGTGGGGCCGGCAGTGTCCTGCCAGGTTACTGCTCGTCCCCTGGCCACGTCCCCGGGGAGCAGGCTGCCTCAGGAGATGCTCCATGCTGAGGGTCAAGTTGCTGTGTGTACTGTGTCCCAGGGTTGGACCGAGCACTGGAAAAATAGGCCTGATCCAAGTGATCAATTAAACTTTCTGTTGGTGGAGATTGAATTTAGAGTTTTTAAAAAATACATGAAATCTTTCTATTTCAGTAGTGTTATTTTTAATGAAATGAAACATTTACTGACATAAGCTCCACAGAGCAATTGAATGGCCAATTAAACTCAGTGGTGCCATGCTGGACGGTCTCAGTGCCAGAATACAGCACTAGGAGGCGTGGGGGTGGGGAGGGGTGGGGCTGTAACTACCTTCAGAAGGCCTGTCAGGCCTCAGAGGTTCACCTTCTGCTGGTCTTTCCTCCAGTCCCTCCGGCTCCTGGCAAGGGTGGAACAGGGCGACTTCTGCAGGTCAGGCCATGTGGCTTCTGAGATACTATGAAACCAAGGACTGTACTGACAGACAAAGGAAACGCTCTGGAGAATGCCAGTCCAGATATGCCATTACACTGTCTTTCTAACCTTTCCAGGCTGCTGTCACTCCTGCCAGGACTTCCCAGCAGAAACCCTTGGGACTGGATGTGCTTCCAGAATGAGACTTTTTTTAAAGCCCATACAGTGCGCAGACCATACATTATATAACACCCTACGAGAGTCTAGGCAGCACTCTGTATTCAAACATCTTCCTTCTGCAGCAATACCTGTGAATACAGAAAAGCACTAAACAGCCTCCTATCAGGCCAGGTTTTATGTCCCAATGAAGTCAGTTCAGATCAGTTTTGCTGCCAAGTGAGTTAGTTACCAGAACTTCGGGTTTCCAGAGCCGGTTGGGTTTGTGAGTTGTGGGTAAGGAAATGCTGGCCCTGCACCCTGCTGCTCCAGGCTCCTCCCCTTGCTCCAGCTCCCCGCCCCATCTGAGTTTTCAAGTGAATTTCAGCAATTGGAGCTAATTATGCTAATTAGCCACTGAGCTGACCAAACATCCAACAAAAGGGGGCATCTGTGAAGTCTGGCAGGATGTGGGGACAGGGTACCCAGATTCATTCACAGAACCTCTCTCACTAAAGTAAGGGTCACCCCGAAATGTGAGGGAGGTTATGTTACAATAATTAAAGTGAAGGCCTACTTCAGTACAGTGGAAATAACATGTGGATTTTATCACCTCAAGAAATTGGAGTGGCAGAATAAGAAAGCACCCTAAAAGCATTGGACAAGCATGTGACTGACAGGGCTGTGGTTGGCAGCCACAGGAGCCAGGATAAACCAGCTCCAACAGTAACAACAAAACAAAGAGAATTGGCAACAGATCCCGAAGTCTGGGTGTCGCCTCCGCAGGGAGGCAGAGCTGTGCACGGGGCCCAGCTCCTCTGGACAGGCTCAGGACCCTGCTGAGGGCTGCCAGCCCCTCCAGAATTAAGGGAGCTGCTGCATGCACACGCTCTGTCCTGATGGTTATGCCCCTGAGAGACAGGGAAGAAATCTAAGTTTCTGTATGGCTTAAAATTCAGTTCTTGCTTTTGTCAATTATCAGGGTCAAAAGTTGGGGAGGAGTCCAGATTACAGGCTCAGGGCCAAGGAGCAGCCAAAACATACAAGGGCTTGGCAGGCGATGGCAGAACGTGATACGACACAAAAGGGAAGGAAAATGAGAGAACGGTGCCTGGCGGTGATTGGGAACGGAGTGGGGGCATTCGCCTCACCCCAAGTGTGGTATTTCCTGTTCTGTCAAAAAGGCAGGGGGGCTGCTTTCCCCAGAGAGTCAGCAGTCTCTCCGAAGCCTCCTGCGAGCCCTGGGCAGCCTGGTGTTCCCCGAGGCAGCAACCCAGAGGGTCACAGAGGTCTCAAATGATAGATGGCCTGTCCGAGGTAATCGGGAAACACTGGCCCTGGAGACACCCTGTCTCCCCGTCAGCGTCACCAAACCCCCGGGTCACTGGGTCAGACAGTGCCCAGTGTGGCATGATGGCAGATCTCGGACAATGGGGCACCAAAGCTTGCCCAGGCAGGAGGAAAGCTAATTGTGAGCTTTGTAAATGGAGCTTATAGATGCTATACACAAGAAACAGTGTGTTTTCACTCCATGGGCTTTTTTTTTGGTCTGCTTCATCCCTATTTCTTTGTCATCTTGATTGGAATGTAGTTTTACATACAATAGAATTCAACAATTTTAAGAATACAGTTAGTTTGACAAACATAAGCAATCACACCACCATATGCAGGTTATAGGCCAAATGCTGTCCGGGGACCAAATACAGCTCCACCCTGTTTTTGTTATGTACATTTTTAAAGAGTTAAATACACACACACACACACACACACACACACACAACCCACAAAGCCTGATTTACTCTCTGGCCTTTACAGGACTAGTTTGCTAAGTCCTGATGGAGAGCATTTCCATCACCCCTCAGCTCACCCAGGGCCCCTCTGCAGGCACTCCCTGCCCCTCCTCCTGGCAATCACTGATCTGCTTTCTATCACTGAAGGTTTGCCTTTTCTAGAATTTCATAGAAATGAGATCATAAGGTATGTTACCTTTTGTGTCTGGCTTCTTTCACTTATAACACTTATGAGGTTCATCATCTGGGTTTTTGTGTGTACGAGTAGTGCGTTCCTTTTTTATTTCTGAGTGCTGTGCTGTCCGGTTAAAGGCAGGGTCCCACCCTGCGTGAGGTGGGGAGCTCGGCACGGTTTCACGTGCAGGCTCAAAATAGAAAAAGGGGGAGGGGCAGGGCTGGGGCCCGCAGGTGCCCGCGCTCACTGCCCCTGTCTTTGCAGGCATGAACAACCGGGAGGTGCTGGAGCAGGTGGAGCGCGGCTACAGGATGCCCTGCCCGCAGGACTGCCCCATCTCTCTGCACGAGCTCATGATCCACTGCTGGAAAAAGGACCCCGAAGAACGGCCCACTTTCGAGTACTTACAGGGCTTCCTGGAAGACTACTTCACGGCCACAGAGCCCCAGTATCAGCCGGGCGAAAACCTGTGAGACAGGGGTCAGCAGAGAGGCCAGTCCCAGAGGCTCCGCCCCTCCCCATTAGCTTTCCATCCGTAGCCAGCTGCTGGGGCAGCCAGAACCGTCCAGGATCAGATTGCATGTGACTCTGAAGCTGACGAACTTCCATGGCCCTCATTAATGACACGTGTCCCCAAATCCGAACCTCCTCTGTGAAGCATACGAGACAGACCTTGTTATTTCTCAGACTTTGGAAAATGCATTGTATCGATGTTACGTAAAAGGCCAAACCTCTGTTCAGTGTAAATAGTTACTCCAGTGCCAACAATCCCAGTGCTTTCCTTTTTTAAAAATGCAAATCCTATGTGATTTTAACTGTCTTCACCTGATTCAACTAAAAAAAAGTATTATTTTCCAAAAGTGGCCTCTTTGTCTAAAACAATAAAATTTTTTTTCATGTTTTAACAAAAACCAATCAGGACAGGTGTTTGGTTTTTTTTTCCTTTTTTACAAATATGAATACATATAATATATATGTCCCTGTACATACACCATGTGGGTGCTAACGTGGAGACCATGGCCAACCTGGACCACAAGCTTCAGGACCCAGAGTGAGGATTTTACTGCAAAATCAGTAGAAAAGCACTGATGTTATTCTGAAAAACCAGTGGCCTCATTTTTGGCTTTTTCAAAGCATGAATTTTTTTTTTAATTTGGATTGCACTTTTTTGATTCATGACTATACCTACAGATGGCTGTTAGGTTGACTCTTTTCAGCAGCCCCCAAGCTGAATTCATAAAGCCTGTTTCCAATATTTGCTTCGACTTAACTGCGATTTGTTCTTGAAACTTAAAAGTGGGCATATTTAAGCCAACCAACGGCCAAACTACTACGAAGGGAACTGGAAGATGGATACCACGCAAACTTCTTGTATAAAAATATGAATGCTGAAATGTTTCAAACTTTTTTTATTTAATAAATCTTGTAACCACATTTAAATGGTCTAAAACCCATAGCATTGTAGTCATGGCAACCTGCTAAACTTTCTCATGCAACTAAAACTTCCAGGAAGGTGAGGGTGGGGGCTGTGCATTTCCCATTGTAAACTAAGTGTTTCAATGTCCTGTACTGCTAATGAAATGACTTTCTGTGTGTCCGAGAGTTCTCCAGTGGAATAACTATGCACTACTTGACATTTCATGGGGATGCACACAAAAAAAGTATTACATTTTTAGTTGCTGTTTGTACCAACCTTGAATTACATGTTTAACAACAACAAATCAAAAAAGCCTATTTCTATTGAGTTTTTAATACTGAGTAGCAACTCTGAAGTCTTAATTCCTTTTTTGTTATGATTTATTTGTGACTTTGCATTTTTAAATTGTTTAACTTTCTTAATTTAGTAATTAAAAAGAGAGCATTTTACATTTGAATTTTTTTTTTTGTTCATTTGTTTAAACATGGAAGGGACTCTGGTGGTGACATATCTGTTCCACACCAGGTGGTGAGGCGCCACCTGGGGAATGTAACCATTGTGCAGTGATTTCCAAACGACAGGAACATTCGAGACACCTGGAGTGTTTTTTTTCTTTTCTTCCCCAGAAAAGCTAGGCTATTGTCTAGCTAATTCAAAGGAATGTTAAAGTATGACTAGGCATACCTTAACATTTTAATTTATCAGACATTTCTTTAACTGGAATTTTCTGTGTCCCACATGTAGGGGAAAGAGACAATTACCAGGAAAATGAAGCAATTAACAGGAGAATTGTCCTTGTCGTGGAGTCAGTATATGTATTTCCCAGCGTCCCTCCACCTCTGTAATGAAGTTGCTAAGCAGGGACATAGGCTGGCATGCCTGGAGGGGCAGTGGGCAGACAGGCTAACTGTCCAGGCCTGGCTTTGCACACGCTCAGCTGTGCTGAACAGCAACCTGGCTTCTCTCACTTCCAGGTCCTGTCTATAGAAATGAGGGGCTGGATGAGACTTGCTGTCGTTTCCTGCAAGGTCTGAGACCCTGTGCGTTAGGGTCACTGGTGTGATGTGGAATCATACAAGGAGGACCGTTTTCTTGCTGGAATAACCTTTCTGTTTAGAAAGGGTTTCCAACATTTTGTTCTAAGTGACACAAAGGGATTTTCTGGCAAATCAAGTCTTTATGGTATTGTTTTGGTATTAATCCAGTTATTACCACTGGGCAATTTATTAACATGTTCTAGATATTTGTAAAGATAACTTTGTTTTTAGTCTTCCCTTCTCACCAGTTTGGATAATTTGCAAATATTCTCTGAAGGATTTTTGTTTATGTTTTTTGACTTGGTCATTCAAAAAAACCCAAAGAAGTCATAACAACCTGTTCGAAACAGAGATTCTTTAAGAAAAAAAAGTCTCTTCAAACCAAAGCATAGCCTTTAATTCATCAGTTGAGTTCCTTGTGGATTCTCTCCGATAAATCAAAACCAAGGACTCGGGTTAACTTGAGGGCATGCTTCCCAAACGCCGCGCTGGAGCTGTTCTGAAACACAGGGCGGGGCCCAAGGATAAAAGTATGAAAAATTATGAGAGCAGCGATAAAGATGGAGAAATCAGAGGCGTTTCAGGCATTTCCTTGCAAGAAGCTGATGTGCTGTCAGGAGCTAGTCCTGAGGTAGCCCAGCCCAGCAATGACACACCCTCCGGGGTCCCCACAGCCCTGGAAGCCGCCCTTCCTCACAAGTCCTAGAAGTCTGGGGTGAGGAAGTTGCATTCTCTGACAAGGAATCTCTCTCGTTAAGAAAGAAATGTACCTTGAAAGGTACCGTAGCGGTGAGTGGACTTTCTGAAGATCACATAGCCCACTGGAGAAGCAACTTGACAAAGCCCAAAACGGTTCCTGCTCAGCCGGCTCCCTGTGGCCCTCACCCCTCACACTGTCCTGGGGGTGCTGCTGGGCTGCGAGGCCAGGGAACCCAGAGCAGCAGGGCCTCCCTGTGTTTGCTAGGGATCAGGGTGTGTAGACCCAAGCAAGGGGCGTTTGGCTCTGCCTTGGTCACGGCAAAGAAAGGTGGGTGGAGACCCAGGCAGGTCCACAGAAAAGTGAAGGGTGTTCCTCGTCCCTCAGAGACAGCCACACTACTGACGATTTCCTGGCAGGCGCCAGAGGGGTCCACGTGAGAGACGGGAACCCTCCTGTGGCTGAATCTTGGCACCGGAGGGCTGTTCCAGTAGCACTGGAGCTACAGAATTTTGTCTGAAGTTTCCTACGGGACTTAAGGGTCTCTGTGGTATTCCCTGGGAGGGTTCCTTCGTGAGTCTTGAGAGAAGGCAAGGTCCCAGCCGTGTGCAGGGAGAATTCCGCTGAAGCCCGCTGTGTGAGCCGTGTCACCCGTCCTTTTGTCCTGGTTTAGGACCAGAACCTGGCTTCACAGAATAGGCATTTGCTAACGAGCTATAGTGGATAAAATGGTGTTTGGTCAATGTGTGTTCCTGAAAGTTACTTTAATAGTTCTAAATGATTTTTGTTGACTTTTTTTTACCATTATATATTATTGGAGTTCAATTTGACTTCCCAAAGTATTTGCTAAAAGGCAGGGAGACAGAAGGGAGGAGGGGAATAGTTTGGCGCAGGAAGGGGGGGGGGGGGGGGGGGAGGTGGAGGAAGCTCAAGTTTTTATTCTAAAAATGATATTGTGGGGTACAGATTTACTAAAGCAGGTACCAACATTATGTTTGTCTTATTCACTGATCAAAAATAGATTACAACTGCAGAGAAAATAATTAAAAATTAGTACCTTTAATATCTTTGAAATATCAAATGGACCTTCATCATTTATATATACCTGCATTCCCAGAAGTTGTTTTTTAATACATTTCTAAATTGTACCTCATTCCTTCCAAACATGCAAAATATTCAGAATCCCTTCAGTGGAGAGAGGGGGGTATAACCTTTATTCTGAAATTAATTTTGAGGAATGACAATAAGAATAAATGGTTTTCCAGTAGAGACTCTTCCAAGGAGAATGTGATCAGGGACAAACAACAGCTCCCCCAGCATCCAGATCACTACGCTTTTTTCCCAGAATAGTTAACTCCTCTTCTAATCACTTATTTAATAACACAACTCTTCTTTTCGTGCATTTTCCCTGCCAGATTGTGAGCTCCTTGAGAACAAACTGCCTAACTTGTTCACTATTCTCCCTGCACCTCGAGCAGTGATGAGCCGATGGTAGACATTATTGGATGGATGGATGGATGGCTGGAAGGAGGATGCCGTCTGACAGGGTGAATGGTTGGCCTGGGAGTGACACACTAAGAACCTGCAGAGCCCACCTGGACTCGCCGTGAGCTGCCGAGGCACTAGCCCTGCCGGTTCTCACTGTTCTCCATGTGTGGTCACCAGGCTGAAGAGTCAATACGTGATGGGAAGGCCCAATTGGGAGCCTGAAGTGAACACCATTAGTGTTTCCCAAACCTTTCCCAGAAATCACCCCAACACCAATGTACCCCTGAGACCTGGGGCCTTCAGGTCTCATTCTAACGTAGTAATTTTATGAACATTGGATGGATCATCTACTCCTAAGATATCCATCTTTGTCTTCACATGAAGTTATCTTCCCAGACCTCCAGGCTGTGCGGCGTTAACCAGCCTGTGGCCTGCCATGTCCCTGCACACCTCTCCGTGACCAGGAGGCCTGGGCCCTGCTTGAGAAGCACGGTGAAGATGCTGTTCATGGCATGTTATTGCTAACGTGAAAATACTATAGTTGGGAAAGGTAACATTATCCCCATTAACATGGATTCTCGTATCTGATTCCCTTTTTTTCACCAGCGAACAACAGCACTTTGAGAATGGAACAGAAGACAAGGGGGGCTGATGATGGAAACAGGAAACCGTCCAGCGTCCACAGGCAGCACAGGTCCAGTCAGGTCAGCCTGCTTGTCCCAGATGGCAGCAAACAGAAGACAGGAGGGAGGTGGTAGACAAGGAGCCTGAAACCGGAGCTGGAATGAGAGGACTTTCGCCACCACTCTTCAAGGCAATCGGATGATGGTTGATATGACTGTTGATATGTGTAAGAACATTCATTCATTCTAGAAGCATCCATAGACTACTAATTATGGGTGAGACTCTGTACACTAGAAAGTCAAAGAGACCTTAATATTTCCAGTCCAGGGAGGACGGAGACCGTAAGAGATCATTGCAATGAGCTACCTGCTAGGTGGAAGCTCAAGTGGTAGCAAAAAAATGCCGTTCAGGCCCTAGCCAGTTTAGCTCAGTGGATAAAGCGTCAGCCTGTGGATTGAAGAGTTCCGGGTTCGATTTCGGTCAAGGGCACATGCCCGGGTTTCGGGCTTGATCCCCAGTAGGGGGCGTGCAGGAGGCAGCCAATCAATAATTCTCTCTCATCATTGATGTTTCTATCTCTCCCTCTCCCTTTCTTTCTAAAATCAATAAAAAAAATTTTTAAAAAAAGAATGCCATTCACCCCAAGATAGGAAGTGCAAGGGAGGCTCCCTGGAGGAGGTGATGCCTGACCTCAGTCTTAAAGGACAAGCAGAATTATGTATTGCTTAACGGTAGCCCAGTGTTTTTTGCCTTTGAATGTGTTTCCTTCTACTATCCAACCTCCATTAGGGCCTAGCTCATGCTTTCAATATAGAAGATGCTCAGCAAATGCATTTAAGTGAAGAGAAAACAAAACCACGACATGAAAACTCTGAAAATTGACCCCCACCCCCCTGCCCGCTCTGACACACACCGCATTATAGGCACATCATTTATTCTGATTAGTGGGCTGCTAACTGGAGGGTAGATGATACCATAAAAGAACAAAGTGTAATGTTTTAGACAGCTTGTTGGCGCCAATGTCCCAGCTGGAATGTAGTTTGAAATATATTTATAGAGTATGAGAATAAAATAATTGCTTGGGAAGAGACTGGAAATAACTCCTCACCACCTCTGTTAAAAAGGATTACTAGAGGGTTTTCTCTCCTTTATGAAGCTGTTGTCACCCTTTCCCTTC